GGCAAACAAAAGAAAGCAGGGGTTGCCATACTTATATCAGACAAAGAAGCCTTCAAGATAAAAAAAAAAAAAATGAGAGACAAAGGGTGCAGTATATAATGACAAAAGGGACATTTCACCAAGAAGACATAACGCTTATGAATATATATGCACCTAACACAGGAGCACCAAAGTATATAAAGCAACTATTAAAAAACTTAAAGGGAGAAATTAACGGCAACACAATAGTAGTAGGGGTCCTCAACACCACACTTATGTCAATGGATAGATAATCCAGACAGAAAGTCAACAAGGAAACAGTGGCCTTAAATGAAATACTAGACCAGATAGACTTAATAGATATATATAGAACATTCCATCTAAAACCATCAGAATACACATTCTTTTCAAGTGCGCATGGAACATTCTCAAAGAGAGACATTATGTTGGGAAACAAGGCAAGCCTCAATAAATTTAAGAAGATTGAAATCATATCAAGCATCTTTTCTGACCATAATGCTATGAAACTAGAAATCAGCTAAAAGAAAAAAGCTGGGAAAGTCAGAAATATGTGGAGACCAAACAACATGCTACTGAACAATCATTGGATCAATGAAGAAATCAAAGGAGAAATTTTAAAAATCTGGAGAAAAAAGAAAATGAAATACATCATACCAACTCTTATGGGATGCAGCAAACGCAGCTCTAAGAGGGAAATTCATAGCAATACAGGCCCACCACAACAAACAAGAAAAATCTCACAAAGTAATCTTAAACTACACCTAACAGAACTAGAAAAAGAAGAACAAACAAAGCCCAATGTCAACAGAAGGATAGAAATAACAAAAATTAGACCAGAGACAAGTGAAACAGAAAGCAAAAAAACAGTAGAAAGGATCAATGAAACTAAGAGCTGGTTCTTTGAGAAGATAAACAAAATTGACAAACACTTAGCCAGACTCACTGAGAAAGAAAGAGAAGGCTCAAATAAACAAAATTAGAAATGAAAGAGGAGAAATTACAATGGATACCACAGAAATGCAAAGGATTATAAGAGAATACTATGGAAAACTATATGGCAATGAATTGGATAACCTAGAAGAAATGGATAAACTCTTAAACTCATACAACCTCCCAAAACTGAATCAAGAAGAAATAGAGAATCTGAATAGACCAATTACATGTAAAGAGATTGAAACAGTGATCAAAAACCTCCCAAAAAGCCAAAGGCCAAGACCAGATAGCTTCTCTGGAGAATTCTACCAAACATTCAAAGAAGATTTAATACCTATCCTTCTCACTATTCCAAAAACTTGAAGATGGAATGCTTCCTAACACATTCTATGAGGTCAACATTACCCTGATCACAAAACCAGACAAGGACAACACAAAGAAGGAAAATTACAGGCCAATATCCCTGATGAACATAGATACGAAAATCCTCAACAAAATATTGGTAAACCAAATACAGCAATACATTGAAAAGATCATACACCATGATCAAGTGGGATTTATACCAGGGAGGCAGGGATGATTCAACATCTGCAAATCAATCAATGTGATACACCACATTAACAAAATGAGGAATAAAAATCACTTGATCATCTCAATAGATGCACAGAAAGCATTTGACAAGATTTAACATCCATTTATGACAAAAAAAAAAACCCTCTCAATAAATTGGGTATAGAAGGAAAGTACCTCAACATAATAAAGGCCATATATGACAAACCCACAGCCAACATCATACTCAATGGTGAAAAACTGAAAGTCATCCCTCTGAGAACAGGAGCAAGACAAGGGTGCCCACTCTCACCACTCTTATTCAACATAGTACTGGAGGTTTTGGCCAGAGTAATTGGGCAAAAAAAAAAAAAAAAAAAGAAATAAAAGGTATCCAAATTGGCAAGGAAGAAGTGAAACTCTCACTGTTTGCAGATGACATGATTCTATATATAGAAAACCCTAAAGAATCCATCAGAAAACTATTAAAGGGGCCATCCCAGTGGCACAAGCAATTAAGTGCACGCTCTCTACTGCAGCAGCCCGGGGTTCACTGGATCCTGGGCGGGCACCGGCACACCGCTTGTCAAGCCATGCTGTGGCAGCGTCCCATATAAAGTAGAGGATGATGGGCATGGATGTTAGCCCAGGGCCAGTCTTCTTCAGCAAAAAGAGGAGGATTGGCAGATGTTAGCTCAGTGCCGATCTTCCTCACAAAAAAAAAAGAGAAAACTATTAAAAATAATCAACAACTACAGCACAGCTGCAGGATACAAAATCAACTTACAAAAGTCAGTTGCATTTCTATATTCTAATAACGGACTCACAGAAAGAGAACTCGAAAATACAATCCCATTTACAATCACAACAAAAAGAATAAAATATCTAGGAATAAATTTACCAAGGAGGCAAAAGATCTATACACTGAAAACTATAAGACATTGAAAGAAATCAAAGATGACATAAAGAAATGGAAAGACATTCCATGCTCATGGATTGGAAGAATAAACATAGTTAAAAGGTCCATATTACCTAAAGCAATCTACAGATTCAATGCAATCCCAATCAGAATCCCAATGACATTATTCACAGAAATAGAACATCCTAAAATTTATATGGAACAACAAAAGACCTCGAATAGTGAAGGCAATCCTGAGAAAAAAGAACAAAGCTGGAGGCATCACAATTCCTGACTTCAAAATATACTATAAAGCTGGGCTGGCCCTGTGGCTTAGCGGTTAAGCGCGCGTGCTCTGCTACTGGCAGCCCGGGTTCGGATCCCGGGCTCGCACTGATGCACCACTTCTCCACCCATGCTGAGGCCATGTCCCACATACAGCAACTAGAAGGATGTGCAACTATGACATACAACTATCTACTGGGGCTTTGGGGAAAAAAAAAAGGAGGAGGACTGGCAATAGATGTTAGCTCAGAGCCGGTCTTCCTCAGCAAAAAGAGAAGGATTAGCATGGATGTTAGCTCAGGGCTGATCTTCCTCACACACAATATATATATACTACAAAGCTAAAAAAAATATATATATATATATACATATATATATATACATACTACAAAACTATAGTAATCAGTACAGCATGGTACTGGCACAAAAACAGACACACAGATCAATGGAACAGAATTGAAAGCCCAGAAATAAAAC